AGCGCACAAATAAGATCGGTACCCTGCGATGCCCCGCCTGGCCCTACTCCCTTCCCTCTCCAGAGCCTGGTCCTACTCCCTTCCCTCTCCAGAGCCTGGCCCTACTCCCTTCCCTCTCCAGAGCCTGGCCCTACTCCCTTCCCTCTCCAGAGCCTGGCCCTACTCCCTTCCCTCTCCAGAGCCTGGCCCTAATCCCTTCCCCCTCTGAGTGATTACAGTTTTGTTACATCAGAAACTGTTCCCTCCTTTGACAGACTCAGCAGCAGGGACTTAGGAAGGTGTCTCTCCTGCCCAGATAGCAGGCCAGACAGGGAAAGGTGGGAAGGCGAACTTACCTGGTACCTGCAGGGAGATACTACTACATAAAGATGCTTTCATTATGTATGAAGACACCAGCAAGAAGGAAAGCCTGGCATGGGGAGACATACAATTTTAAATCACCTAACTCTCTATCTTTCTCATGGTATCACAAGAAAATGTGTAAATTATACACAGACTAAAGTGAAAAAGCTGTCAAGGTAAGCTGGTTAAAATGTTGGATAAACCGGGACTTGTTCTCCAAGTCACATGCTATGTCAGCCAACCAGAACCAATAAGACAAATGTCTGGTCCCTCTCAAAATACTCCTTCCCCCCCATCAGTCCCATATCTCGACAGTTTATAACATACGATGCCAAACAGGAGTAGATGTACAGCTGCATATACTTTCTTTTTTAAATCCTCACACGAGGACATGCTTAAAGAGAGGGAGGGGGAGGGAGGGAGAGAGAGAGAAAGAAACATCAATGTAAGAGAGAAACATCAATTGGTAGCCTTCCATTTGTGCTCTCATTGGGGATCGAACCCACAATCCAGACATATGCCCTGACCAGGAGTCGAACTGGCATCCTATTGGTGCACGGGACGATGCTCAACCAACTGAGCCACTCTGGCTGGGCAGCTGCATATACTTTTAAAGGACACAACCTAAAAATAATTATATTTACCAAGATCATCACATAAGTCGTATCCATCCATCCATCCAACAGAACAGGTGTAGTGATACAACACCGAGTCCCAAACCAAAACACACACATAGTTCATGTCCTTATGGAGCCTGCAGTCCAATGAAGAGACCCACATGCATCAAAGAATCTATCCAAGGAGTGGTATGAGGCAGAGGACATGGTGCTGTGAGAGGACGATACAAGGGGACATGACCTGGGTGGAGAGGTCGGGGGCAGTACAATTACCTAAGGAGGTGAAGGGGCAGAGCTCCAGAACGGGGGAACAGCATGAAACAGGGGCCCAGAAGTAGGAGAGTGCAAGCTGGGGGCTCCTGTGGCTGCAGTTTCCAGAGTTTGGTTAGAGATAAGCCAATGTAGTCAGACAACGCTGGGCCTCACAGAGCTGTTACAGAATTTGGTTTCTACCTTGTGGGCAATGGAAAGCCACTGGCAGGAGTTTTACATGAGAACAGGGGTGGTAGTGTCATGACCCGACTTAAGTTTTGAAACATTTCTCTGGTAGCACAAAGATGTACAGTGTAACTGTCCACTCAGCCACTCCCGAGTCTCAAGGCATTTCCAGCAGTGGAGCAGGAATACTCTGAGCATGCACAAGCAAGTCCAGCTAAGTGTTCCACATCATGTATCATCGTCTGGGTCCCTAAAACTAGAGAATGAACCTGTAAGATTCACAATATACAATGGGTCAGGTGTTTATGAATTCTAAGAAGTGATATTTTTTGCTTTGTGATTACATGCATTCTGAATCTAGATGGCTCCCTAATGTTGTCTGACTCTATGTTTAGGGCAGTGGTTTCCAGCTCTGGCTGTACATCAGAATCACTTGGGGCTTTAAAAATTTATAGCAATGCCCTGGTCCCCAAGATCACCTGAGTCAAGACAAGACCAATTTCTGGAGATGGATCCTGAGCAGGTTTTATTTTATTTTTAAAATATGTTTTTATTGATTTTTTTAATTCTAGAGAGAAAAGAAGGGGGGGAGAGAGAGATAGAAACATTGATGTGAGAGAGAAACATCAATTGGCTGCCTCCTGCATGCCCCTTACTGGGGATCGAGCCCACAACCTGAGCATGTGCCCTGACTGGGAACTGAACCAGGATCTCTGTCCATGGGATGATACCCAATCCACTGAGCCACACCAGCAGGGCGATCCTGGGCAGGTTTTAAAAGCTCTGCCCAGGATTCTAATAAACAGCCAGGACTGAGACCTGGTAGTCCAGGTTCTCGGTCCCTCTCAAATTTTAATGACCAAAGGAATCCCCTGGAGAATCTGGTTAAAATGCCGATTCTAGGCATTCTAACATAATAGACATTTTCCTAACACCTCTTTCTACTATAAGAAGGAAAATTGGTAGCAAAAGAGTATCTGCCAACTAGAGTCTATTGATGATCTAAATTATATCAGAGCCCTGAAAAAACAGCTTAAAGTTCATTAGAATCAAAGACATCCATTACTGTTCCCATTTACCCTCTTCCCCAGCCCTCCCATCTTTAGGTAACTAATTCTATGGAATCAGAGTTTGGTTTGACCTTGGAACAATCATGATAATTTGACCCAGCTTTTTAAACAAAAGAAAGGCATTCCAAATTCCCTTCGCCCAGTTCCTCTAAACCTGCCCCACTATCTGCATTATTTCCTTGAATGTACAAGTTCTCCCTGGAGTTTACCTCCCGTCCAAGGACGACACCCACAAGGCTCACTCTTCTGTCTGCAGAGAGACTGGGCCTGACATCAGCAGTCCTTCTCAATGGCTCTGCCAAGGGCCACTGCTCTCCTTGCAGCCTGGTGACAAATGGCCTTTAAAATGCCTGACATTTTCTGTAATTAACTCTCCTTTGTTCAAGGAGACAAAGACAAGTCCCAAAGTGCCTCTTGCAGCTAATGGTAGCAAACCTGAATGTGCCCCAGGTCCCTTGTGGTCACGGTGTGCTGCCCTGAACAGAGACCCCAGGCCCTGAGGACTCAGCATATCCATCTTCAGAGCTTTCCTATTTCCAGTCATTAAAGGAGATTTTCATATGTCAAGAAGTCAGAAGCTAAACCCAAGTTACAGGCTAGGGCTCTTTAAAACCCATAAGGTTGCCGGGACACGAGCGAATGCTACAGAACCCGTGGGCGAGTCCAAAGGCCGCTGTCAGCCCTGGCACAGCCTCATTTCGCACCCGCGACACGTGTAAAAAAAAACAAAAAAAAAAATATGGTTGGACTGGTGGTTAAGGAACTTAAGACTTTATGGGGAAGGCAGGGGTAGGAAAGCAAGAACATAACTGAACATACAAGAAATCTATTCTGTTTCTCTCTCTCTCAACTAAAATAAAGCACACATTTTACATGTTGGTAATTACTAACAGTGGGCTTGGTACCATAGGCATACCTCAGAGATATGGTGGGTTCAGTTCCAGACCACCTCAATAAAGCAAGTGCCATAAAAGAGTGAGTCATAATCTCTTTGCTGGTGAAGGGTCTTGCCTTCAAATGGTAAAAAACACAACATCTGTGAAGTGCAATAAAGCAAAGCACAATAACATGAGGTACGTCTGTATTACCAACTTTTGGTGCAAATTCTCCCTCCCCTATGTTTTTCAAATGATGCTTGTAAATCCATTTTGTTCAGCCTCCAATCACATTCCAATGGCTCCTCCCACCCCCTGGCAGTGTTTGAGTTGTCACCTCAAAGCACAAAGCCTTTCTGAATTCGTGCTGAAGAGCTTGACCCCCATCTGCCATGCTCCACTTCTGTCATACACATTTGACAAATAAGCCCATCTGACTGTTTAAAACAGTGTTTTCCCAAATGTCATTCATTTGGCAATATTTACCAAATGCCTACTCTAGGCCAGTAGTTTTTCTAGGCCCTGGGATATGTAAGGCAATACACACTTCCTGCTCTCATGGTGCTTGGTACTAACGGAGGAAGAAAGGCCATAAATAAACAGAACCAATGTATAGGGCACTCAATGCCACTGATAGTAACAAAGAGTAAGGGACACAGGGAGGGCAATTAGAAGGGTGTGATGTTGAGAAGAGGCAAAACAGAGTGAAGAAACAAATAATATAGCCACTTGGTGAAGAGTTTGGTTTGGGTCCCAGAATCCCAACAGCAGCAAGGAGGCCCATGTCCCTCGTGGACTGAACAAGAGGGCAAGGTTGTGACCCCAGTGAAGAATTCTGTCAATAGCCCTTTACTGAGATGAAAATTCCTGGGTCCCTACCCCCATTACATATGAACCCAGGGGAAGGATTATGTGTCCAGTGTTCAGTTTCTAAAACATTCTTCCAAAATATATCCAGACACTAAAGGAAACTTGACAAAAATAATCCAGTAATGCACAAGTAACTGGTCACCCTGGGAAGACTCACAGGGAGAAGGGAAACTAGACAGCTGAGGGATGGAGCAATGGGGGACATTCTACGAACAAATCAAACTTTTCATACCTTCGAGTTTGAACTAAAATGTGTTATATAATCAATAAAATTATTAAATTACAACTTAAGAAAATAAAACATTGCATATGAATTCATAACATATATAAAGTGCTATTATGGTCACTGTGATTTTCAGATTTATAGTTAGGATTTCTCTCAGTCTAAGTTAAGAAATTTCCTTTGTCTGCTTGGCCAACATCATTACAATTTATCATCTCAGAATGACCAATCATCTATAGTCACATCTGTCCTTACTCAGGAAGGATGTGAGGATAAAGAGAGATTTTCATGAATAATAATAAGAAGCAAATCATAAGCAAATACCTATGTAGGGCTCACTGCATATCAGGCACTTCTCTTAGCAGGTACTAAAAACTAATCGCCAGCTCAGGCGAGCTCCTATTATTATACTGAAGAAAATATTTCCTCTAAATATATGTGTACATACTCCTACTGAAGAGTTTAATTTTCCTAAAATCTCCACATGAACAAGAAAGGAGGCAGTAAGAATACTAAATAGCATGAATCTCAAGTAACTAGTGAGTTCACATTTTCTTTCACGTACCTTCTGAGGCCTGAGGTCCGCATTTCCCTGAAATATTGGCTTCGCCCAAGGTTCTTGTTTCTCCCTGTCACTGTATAGAATAAATTTAAAAACCAATAAGCACCATTAAAAGTGACAAGATCAACTTATTTAACACAACTTGGTTTATACTTGGGAAATAGTTAACCACGTTGATTATTCAAGTTTGCACAACAGGTCTCTTACAGGGGTGGGTAATATGTGGATTTCTTGGTAAATGAACAAGCATTTTAAATGTACCCAAAGAGCTAGTTGTTTCAGACCGCCCTGCAACACATTATGAAAAATGAAATACGCTTTATAGCAGAAATAATCAAATCCTATTATACCTGTTTTATATGTTTGATTTTGGGTAAAAAAAATTCCTGTGTAAGATGATTAGATCTTCCAATGCAAAGTGTTCTCTGGGTTGTGTATTTCTCCAAGCTCTAACACCCTGGAAAATTCTAGTTAAATGTCACATTGTGAATGAATAACTAGAAATAAATCAAACTCACGGAATTAGAGACTACAGATTTAACAGAAATATCTGGCAAAATAAACACCCAAGTCATTTAACACACAGTACGGCCCAAGCTGCCTGGGATGCGTGCAGCACAGTCCAGCTGTGCCTCCCTTGACTTCTAAGAACTCAATGTGAAAATTAAAAGCAATTTCATGTTACGTAGATCAAACGATTAAGCTTGTCCTCACATCCAGATTCTTCCAGATCTGTATCAGGAGAAAACAGGCTTCTGCAATCTCTAAGGCTCTGCGTTCACCTCTGTCCCCTGTTTCCATTCCTGGCTCTCCCCCACCTTTTCATTGTATAACCTCAAGCATCAGAAAAATGATTTGCCTATAACTGTAAATGGCCTAGGATATTTTTACTAATTCTTCCCTTTCTTTGTTCAGTTTTGCAAGCACTTCCTTCAGTTTTCACTACAGGGAAGAATTTCTCTCTCGGGTATTTCTGTGAGATTCTTTTCTTCAGGGTCAAAAGCAAAGATGGAAAGATTTTTCTTTCCATCTTAACCCAAGATGGACTATATCCTTATTTTATTGGGGGGGGGGGAGGAAGGCCATTTCTCTCTTTGTGCCTTTTCTCTTTCACCCTGACACTGAAAAGAGTAAGTGCTGGAGATCAGCAAGCAGGAGCTAAACTCTGCTGCTGAATTTTAAAACTGTCTGAGACATTTCTCACCCTGGCAGTTAAAATGACCAATACCCAACTCTTATGGCTCAAAGCCCCAGACTTTGGGTATTTCAGACAAAAACCCCTTTATGACAGCGCTTCTGCCCAGCACACCAGAACCTGGCCGCACTGCTTTCCATTCACGGCAGGCCCCTTCTGCCTTGAGCAGACTTGGAACACAAAAACGACAGCTTTGGAAAATCTGGTTCATCCTCCCAGCCAGAGTGCATGGCAGCCTCAGCCTCGACTTCTGACAAGCCCCCGGATGGTCCAACCCCGCGCGGAGAGCTCCCTGGAGCCTGCCTGGCAGGACACAGGCATTGAACCTTCCCTTCCCTCACCCACCAAAACTGTGCACTCGAGAGAGGTGGTACACGGCCCCTCTTCCCTGAACGCCCCTTGCACCCGCGTGGACCGTTTTCTTCCCCTTTCCGCCCGCAATTCCAAATGCAAAATCTCGCCCAGAAGGAAAGCAGCAGATCACCGAGTGTCCAGAATTCCTGCGAGCCCGGCCCCGCGAGCGGACGCCTCCTCCCTGCATAATTAGCGCGAGGAAGGCTCTCCCCATGAACCCCGCCGCGCAGCGAGGACCCCCGCTGCCAAACACACTGGGATGCCGCCGGCAGAGAAAAGCCGGTGCGCCCATCTTTCCCTCCACCCGCGGGGGGCGGGGGGCGGGGTGTGGGCGTCTGTGGGACCCAGCCCGCGGCGCCCCGAGCGAGCTCACCCTCCGTGGGGCCGGAGCCCTTCCGCAGCCCTGAGCGAAGCTCGGCGCGGCCTCGCGGGCCTGGGGCGGAAGGCGCGGGTCCCGGCGTCCCGGAGCGCGGGAAGCCCGTCCGCCCGCAGGCCCGGTGCCGCCCGCCCGGCCGGGCAAAAGCGGCCGCGGCGCCGGAAGGAGGAAACCCGGCGCGCCAGGCCCTCTCGGGGGGCGAGGCCGCCACCGCCCCCCGCGGCCCTCGCGCGTCCGTACGCGCCGCCGCCTGCGGGCTGTGCGCGTCCCCGCCGCCGACCCCGCCGTGCGCGCGCCCCGGCTCGTCCGTGCGCGTCCCTGCCGCCGCCCCACCGTGCGCGCCGCCGGCCCGCGAGCGGGAGAGAAGACAGGCGTCAGGGGCGCAGCCCAGGGACCCCGACCTTGTCTCCCCGGTGCTCGCCGGCGCCGGATCTTGCCTCCAGCGCTCGCGCCTCCCTCCCCCGCCCCCATAAGAACAAATTACACCCCAGGAAATTACCGGGAGACGTGTGACCGAACTGTGTCTCACCAGGTCTCCGGCCGGCCAGAACACAGGTTGGTGGTAAGAACGAAAAAGAAAAGAAAGAAAAAAGCCCCAAAACCAAAATTGGAAAAAACGGGTACCTGCCAACATTTCCCCATCAGCCTAGCCAGTAAAAGCAGAGCCAGTCCCGGAGGCAACTGTTGTCAGGGTTCAGCTGATTAATAAGCCACGGAGAAAGCCTGGAGCAGTGCACAGCCCTGTGGAGGTGTAACTTGGAAAACTTTTAAAACTTCTTTCAGTTACAGTTGACATAAAATAATGTATTAGTTTCAGGTGTACAAGGTGAAAGGATTAAATACAAATTGCAAATTCTAGCTTCTTAACCTGCAGAAGTGGATAAGACCCCAGGATTTTAGAGCCTGGTACAAAAGTCACTCCCAAAAGTGTTAGAGGTTTTATTGCCCTGAAAAAGGTAAACTAGTTTTGTTTTTATATAACCTACATGTTTAACTACCTAACTATATGCATATGTCTATTTAGCAAACAGGGTAATATAAATATGTACACACACACACATTTTTGTCAAGCTTTCAAGAATACAGTCTTTTGTTTGTTTTTGTCTACCCTGTTGGTCTCCTCCTCAGTGAGTTAAATATAATATCCATGGGGCTCAGCCTTGCAGAATTTCACTTCTAACATGAAATTTAAGCCAGCATAGTTTAAAATGGTGAGACATTTTACTTGGCCTAAATATCATTCAGATATTCAGCCCTTTCTCAGGGCACCATGGTCAACAGGAGACATTTACTCTTCTTGAGGATTTGAATGGACCCACATGCATGGGAGAAGCATAGTAAGTAAATAGGAGCTTAGATGTGACATGGAATATTATGCAGGATTGAAGGGTCCAAGCTCTGGGAATTAGATCTCATGGGCTCAAATCCTTATTCTACCACATCTGTCTTGTGACCCTGTCAAGTTATTTTGTCTTTCTCCCCCCCAGGTTCCTTATCTAGAAAATGGGGGCATTATATAGCATTTACCTGAGAGTTTGCTAAAGAGTAATGGGGATACTGCATTTAAAGTACATAGCACAGTTCTCCCCCAGTAGTGAACTTACAGTAAACATAAGCTACTTTCATTATTATTATTTATTGCACTTCCAGGATACTGTTCAAATATTAAAAGATAACAGTTCTCTCTAGGGGCTTACAATTGGCAACTAAGGTAGCTGAGTATTTTTCTTGGGGTTTTTCTAAATTATTCCAGTTCCCCTTTTTGTTTCTGTAAATGAACTTCAGGGAGGTATTAATAGTTAGTCTTTGTAACAGGAAGATAATTTCTAAAGTAGGGGTTCTCAAAGTGTGACCTGTGGACCCCTGGTGGTCTCCAGGATCCTTTTGGGGGGTGGGGGTACAGTGTCAAAACTGCTTTCACAATAATACTAGGATGTTAGTTGTCTTCGCTATACGGTCATTTGCTCAGATGGTGCAAAAGTAATGGTGGGTAGAACTGATGACACAGCATGGCTCCAAGCAGTGGAACAAAATGGACTTGGTAGTTGCTGCGTTCATCACCACCATGCACTTGAAGTAAAACAAACATACAAACACAAACTGTCACAGAAGGGTGTCCCTCAGAATGGAAGGGGACGTGCACAGAGTACTCCTGCTGCATACCCAGGTATGGTAGTTGTCTGGGGCAAAGTCTTGGGCAATGGTTTGCAGTGCAAAACAGTTAACTGCTTTTTTTTAATGGAAACCATTGTTACTTGAAAGAACTGACAAACTGTGATTCCACACACTTAGGCAATTGGCGGATATTTTCTCCAAAATGAATGAAATGAGCCTGTCACTTTAAGGAAAACAACTGATGTTTGTCGCCAATGCTAAAATTCAGGCTTTCAGGTGAAAATTCAAACTTTTGAAAAACCTGCATCTGCCACTAGGAGTTTGACAGCATCCCAATAGTTAAAGATTTTTCTGATGAAATCAGTGGTTATACTAACATTAAAAAATTTTTTTTAAATCCTTACCTGAGGATATTTTTCCATGATCTTCAGATAGAGTGGGAGGGGTAAGGGGTTGAGAGAGAGGAACATTAACGTGAGAGAGACACATCCATTGGTTGCCTCCCGCAAGACGCCAACCAGGGCCGGGGTCTAACCACAACCAAGGTACGTGCCCTTGACCAGGAATTGAACCCATGACTCATTGGTCTGTGGGCTGACGCTCTAACCACTGAGCAAAACCGACTAGGGCCACAGCAATTTTTAAATATGTAGTATACTGATAGACTGATTGTGGCAAAATAAGAAATATATACTATCTGGCCTTTTCTCTAGTTCCTGACAGAGAGCTTCTAAAACTTCGGTAATGTCCCAAATGATAGGGGTGACAGGATCATTCTTTGTTCTAATATTTGGTCTTTGTTCCTGGCTCCTGACAAAAAGCTACTAAACCCTTGGAATCTCCTGGGAGCATCTTTTGTTCTAATGAGGCAATTCTAGGTGGCCCCTAGAGGGCTTCAGATGGGGACTTGTCACCACAAAGACCAACCCTTAATTAGAAGCCTGGAACTTTTAGCACCCCTTCCTCAACCTCTGTAGAGGGAAGAGAGGCTGAAGATTGTGTTAATAGTAGATCACGCCTACGTGACGAACTTCCATTAAACACCTAAGTCAGGTTTGGAGAGCTCCCAGGCTGGTCAGCATCTGGAGGGGCTGGCAGAGTGGCCACAAGGAAAGGGCATGGAGGTTCTTCTCCCACTGTCCCCTACACCTTGCCCTGTTCACCTCTTCCTTTGCACTGTCCCTGACTTGCCTGCTTTATAATAAATCAGTAATAGTAAGTAAACTGTTTTCCTGAGGTATACGAACTGGTCTAGCAAAGTCAAACTGAGGAAAGGAGGGTTGTGGAAACACCTAATTTATAGCCAAGTCAGACAGCAGTGTGGGCCATCTGGGGACCCCATATTTGTGACTGGCATCTGAAGTGGGACCGAGCCCGAAAAGCTGTGGAGTCTAATGCCATCTCCGCTACCTCTAGGTGGTGTCAAAACAGAATTTAATTGAAGGGCATTCATTCAGTTGGTAAATCAGAGAATTGGTTGTTGGTCTTGGAAAACACGCCATGCTTAACTCAAAACAAAGAACTGGGAAGAAATGTATAAAATCTAATACCACAGAATATTCAGAAGAAATGGCAAATTCCTATTCTTGTAGGATGATGGTTCTCTATATAGCCTGTGCCCCCTGTAAGGGGCATCTAGGTTTCTCTAAAGGTATCTGTTTGATTAATGCATGGTTTGGTTCAAACAGATGGCAATATTTTTTTGGTCAGTGGTTAACTTCTGTCATTGCCCAGTATCACCTCCAGCTCAGGCACCTTCAGCCTTGACTTTAAAGATACACCCGCTGCAGTTGTGGAGGGTAAACAAACCTGGTATCTTTTTCTTTTACCATTAAGAATTTGGGTTTCTTTTAGAATAGCAGTCCAACGTTTTGGTCTGAGGATCCATGTACAGTTCTTTTTTTTTAATCCTCACCCAAGGACATTTTTGCATTTATCTTGAAATAGAGTAGGTCAGAGAGAGAGAGGAAGAGAGAGAGACAAACATCAACGTGAGAGAGACACATTGAGTGATTGCCACCCACACAACCCCAACCAGGACCAGGGACAAACTGCAACCGAGGTACGTGCCCTTAGCGGGAACTGAACCCCAGTCTGTCTGGTCCATGGGCCGATACTCTAACCGCTGAGCCAAACCGGCCAGGGCCATGCACAGTTCTTAAAAATTATCGAGGAACCCAAAGAATTTTTGTTAATCTGGGTTAAATCTATCTATACTTATAATATTAGTAATTAAAACTGAGAAGTTTAAAACATTTACTCATGCCTCGCCAGTGTCGTTCAGTGGTTGAGCATCGACCCACGCACCAAGAGGTCTCTGGTTCAATTCCCAGTCAGGGCACATGCCCAGGTTGTGGGCCAAATCCCCAGTGAGTGGCATGCATGAGGTGACCAGTCGATGTTGTCTCTCATTGATATTTCAATCTGTTTCTCCTTCCTTCCTCTCTTTCTAAAAATCAGTAAAGAAAAAAAAAACAACAACATTTATTCATTAATTCAATTCAAAATAATATATCAATTATATGTTACTATAAATAGCATATTTTAAGGAAAAAGCTATATTATCTAAATCAAAAAATTAGCATTGTTTTCCTTTTTGAAAATCTCTTTAATGTCTGGCTTAATAGAATCTGGATATATATATATATATACACACACATATATATGTATATATATGTATATATATATTTGTTTCTACGTTCAATCTATTGTTATATTCTTTAGCCAAAGAATATAAAGAAAATCCTTCCCGCCCTGGCCGTTTTGGCTCAGCAGTTAGAGCATCGGCCCACAGATCAAAGAGTCGTGGGTTTGATTCCGGACAAGGGCACATACTTTGTACTTTGGTTGCAGTTTGGTTCCTGGCCCTGATTGGAGTTGTGTGGGAGGCAACCAGTCCATGTGTCT